GCTTAGATGTAAAGGTCTGAACTGGTAGAACTAAGGAATGGAGCTCATCTAAACATTTGCCATGGAAATAGCGATAGAGTAGAGAGAGGCTTAGATGTAAAGATCTGAACTGGTAGAACTAAGGAATGGAGCTCGTCTGAACGTTTGCCTTGGAAATAGCGATAGTGTAGCAAGAGGTTTAGATGTAAAGGTCTGAACTGGCAGAACTAAGGAATGTAGCTCGTCTGAACATTTGCCTTGGAAATAGCGATAGTGTAGCAAGAGGCTTAGATGTAAAGGTCTGAACTGGCAGAACTAAGGAATGTAGCTCGTCTGAACATTTGCCTTGGAAATAGCGATAGTGTAGCAAGAGGCTTAGATGTAAAGGTCTGAACTGGTAGAACTAAGGAATGTAGCTCGTCTGAACATTTGCTATGGAAATTGCGATAGTGTTGCAAGAGGCTTAGATGTAAAGGTCTAAACTGGCAGAACTAAGGAATGTAGCTCGTCTGAACATTTGCCTTGGAAAAAGCGATAGTGTAGCAAGAGGCTTAGATGTAAAGGTCTGAACTGGCAGAACTAAGGAATGTAGCTCGTCTGAACATTTGCCTTGGAAATAGCGATAGTGTAGCAAGAGGCTTAGATGTAAAGGTCTGAACTGGTAGAACTAAGGAATGTAGCTCGTCTGAACATTTGCTATGGAAATTGCGATAGTGTTGCAAGAGGCTTAGATGTAAAGGTCTGAACTGGTAGAACTAAGGAATGGAGCTCGTCTGAACATTTGCTATGGAAATTGCGATAGTTTTGCAAGAGGCTTAGATGTAAAGGTCTGAACTGGTAGAACTAAGGAATGTAGCTCGTCTGAACATTTGCCATGGAAATTGCGATAGTGTTGCAAGAGGCTTAGGTGTAAATTTCTGATCTGATGGAAGTAAGGAATGTATCTCGTCTGGCTATTTGCCATGGATTGGTTTGGTTTGGTTTGTTTTGTTTTACGGCATATCAATCCTAGTGAGTCATTTAATGCCAACAACTTTTTTTCCTGGTAATATTTTTGTTTTGTCAAAAATCTGTTTCTGGTAATAATTTTTCATAAAGTATTTCTGGTATCAAAACCTATTTTTACACTTTCAAAATGCTTTTTGCCTCAGTCTCGGGGTTAGCTATTTGCCCATAGCTAGGACCCTAACAGGTGCTACCACCTCGGGTCAGGGTGGACCTGGGAATACCGGCAATTAAGAGCTGGTTCCGCGCTCCTCAAAGCATCCTGATCAGAGGCCTTGCTATTGGACGTAGTTTATCGTCTTACCCTGGACGCGGATAGAGTAGCAAGAGACTCTGAAATAAATGTTGAAACACCGTGGACGGGATTAAGGAGAACGCGATCAAGTAGCTGATGGCGACATTCGAAAGCAATTTTTTTTAATCATTTCACTCTAAGCAAGGTGATAAAGTCACTAAGTCGAAAGGGGTTATTAAGTGCTAGGGAATATGAGAAAAAAAAACACTATTTAGGAGAGAGAACAATAAAAGAACATGAATTAAGAAGACAGAAGATAACGATTGGCATTACATTATAATTTTCTAAAGATCAAAGTTGATAGGGAGGAAAGAAGACTGAAGAATGTTCCACAAGCAAGAAGTGCGATAGAAAAAAACTGTTAGCATAGAAGTTACTGTTACACGTATGTGTTTCTACTGTCAAAGGATGAGATCTTGCCGACAATATAGTACTGCGCTTAAATTAATGAAATCTAGGTACCATAGAGGAAAGCTCATCACAACAATTACAATGAAAGTATTTATACAAAAGGCACACTGAAGCTACGTCATGGCGGTGCGAAAGTGGCTGAAGCCGAAATGCCAAACCAGGACCAATAACATTGCAGATTCTTTGGATTTTATCAAGAATCTTTAAATATATAGCAGGAGCACCAGACCAGATGTGGCAGCAATATTTAAAACGAGACAAATAGTTGACTTATAAATATGTAAGATGGATTCTACTGTTTTGAAAAGATGCGCTGAAATACTCGTGTTAGGTTCTAATGGAGTATATTGAAGTGGACTAAGGCGCCTTTGTCCTAGGTAGGCCCATGAAAGATACCTACCGTACAGATATAATACGGAAACGTCTAACACTTCAATTATTCCGTAGCTCAGTCTTTCGGCCAAATATTGGATTTCTTTAACTGTCTCCCTAATAATTCCTTCATAAGTAATTCTTCTGGACGAATTTCCCTCTTTGAAATTTAATCGCAGTACTAGATTGGCTGATAGGTATCATCGTGTTATAACTGACATTGTTTGATGTAACCGTAAGTTCTATGCTAATAGTTTCTTCTCTTATACTTTTCGCTTGTGGAACTCTCTTCCGGCTTCTTGCTTTCCAACCTACTTTGATATTAATTTTTTTTAGATGCAATGTCAACCCAGTGGCGTAGCTAGAGTAAACGTCACCCGGGGCTGTCCGCTCAAATGTCACCCCAATAACCCCGATTCACCCTATGCTGAATGGTTAGCTGTAGCTAATTTTTATACATGCTCTACCTCTACTTTACTCTACTGACTGATACGTTACTATTTACATGTATGATCCAAGACAAAATCCAATACCACAAAATAATCAGTTCAAATCAAAAGCTGAAAACATTGCTATTTTTCCTACTCACAAATTTCCCGACAATTTATTAGAACATTTCTGACGGGGGGACAAAACTGGGGGGTCATAAATTATTTCTGAGGGGTCATATGCCAGCCTGCGAAACCCTGTGTCTCCACCACTGTTTCCAGACTATTTTTGGCACCTTAGCCTGGTTGAAAAATTTTGTTGGGGGTGACATTGTGTCACCCCCTCCTGTGCTGGCACCCGGGGCGGTCCGCCCCCCTTTAGCTACGCCACTGTGTCAACCATCGTGTTTTCTTAATTCCTGTTCTTTTATTGTTCTCTCCTTAATTTTCCTTTTCATATTCTTTCACACTCAATAACCCCTTACATTTTATTGCCTTGCTTGGTGGGAAATTATTTAAAAAAAAAGAAAAAAAAAAAAGAACTTACCTTGTCCAGATCGATAGTACCGGCCGAAATGTATTTAAAGACCACTCACCCAATTCTCGTTTAATAGTATCTTTCTTAATGGGATCAGATTATTGTTCTTTTTGTATATGTTCATCAGTATTTCGCTAGTTTTCATTTAAGCCCACAGCGGGTACGGTATTCTTCCACTCCAAACTCCACAAACCAGATGGTACCCAGAATAATCAAGGATAGTTTTGCGTAATATTCTGTGGACATTCAGCCTTAGACAGTCTTGATCCAATGACAAACAACTAGTCAAGATAATTTGAGAGTAACCTGTGCTGCATACAATTCATCTCGTCTGATGTTGAGACGTTGGCGGGACTTGTTAATCCCCGAATCATAACACATCATTTATCATTTATATAAAAATACGAAACGGTGGCTATTTAGCAGAGGCAATTTTGGATTTTTCTTACCCAATACCTTTTCTGTTACCGAACCGTCCTAATATTTAGAAATATTCATTTTATGTACTAATAATCTAAATATGCTTTCAGGGAAAGAGTGGATGTGAATCGAGTTCGAATTCCAGTCGGGTTCATTATATTCACTTACGCGCAAATACGCTTGGGAAAGGTTTTAATCCATCTCAACCCCCACCTATGGATTAAACAGTAGATGTACCAGGAATAATCATTGTTATTCTACAAAAATTGTTAATACAACATTCTCTCGTTAAAAAAAAAGAAAGAAAAAACAATCCAAAATATTTCGGTTCTGATAGGCGTGATAAACCGTAAAAAATATCAATTTTGGCCAGGATCATTTTATGATGAAATGTCGAAATTTCAATATCTAACATGGAATTTGAAATTTTTTGACAGACAATTAGTAGATGAAAATGAGAAAGAAAGGGATTGTCAGTGGTCAGGAATAAATTTAAGCATTACTGATAAAATAGGGCTATTATATGTATAATGTAAATGCATTGCTAATGATTTTACTATAGGAATGCATTGAAAATGAGGAAGAAAGGGATTGTCAGTGGTCAGGAATGAATGCAAGCATTACTGATAGAATAGGACTATTATATGTATAATGAAAATACGTTGCCGATGGTTTTACTATAGGAATGCATTGAAAATGAGGAAGAAAGGGATTTTCAGGTGTCAGGAATTACTGTAAGCATTACTGAAAAGATACGGCGATTGTGGATAATATACACATGAGTTGCAAATGATTTTTCTATCAAAATTGAGAATCAGAAACAAAAACATTGTCATTGGTTGAAAGTTAAAGACAATTATTTCCGAATGGCATCATTCTATGCATCTTCCTTTTTTTCGTGTTTATTTTCAGTTGGAATGTTTTATTCCTTTATTTATTTTGGAAGCAAATTAGGATAATTGTGGTATATTTGCTCTAGTTATCTTAAGATATACTATTTTCACTGTCCCGCCACTGCTGCAAACGTTTGCTGTCATCTGCCTCCAAAGACGAAGGCATTTTTCACGTGACTTTTTTCTTCCATTGTTCGTGCGGCTGACAAACGTGAGCAGTAACGTCATTATGACCTTTTCTGATAAATAACACGTTGAAACCATACTCAGGCCACATGCCTGTTATTCTTATACGATTTTTTTTTTTCCGTTCGTTTTTTTTTCCCTCTGTATTCCTTTGCATTGGGTTAAACGTCGTATTGAAAGTTATCGGCGTCTAGAATGGGATCAGATAGCCAGGTTCAAGTTCTATGCGAGTCTCTTGTGTTCATTTGGTTGTAATGCTCTAGAAATTTACGTGAGTCCACCTGTTTCAGTTATGGTTAAAAATAGCAGGACTGGCTATTTCTCTTAAGTCTTCGTAGTGCTAACCACTCTAAGAGAATGGTAATTGTGAATTCAAAACCGCAGTGTTATGGTCATTACGTCATGAAATGATATGGAATTAAAAAATTATTATTTTCTTTTTAGTATTATTTTAAACATTTATTTCTCTTTAGCTTTTCATTTATTGGTCTGACGATTTTTTTTCTTTTTCTTCTTCTGTCTGGTTTGCATTTTTTTACCGTCTGCATCTTATTTTTACACTCTGTCGTTTTTTTTTTTTTTCCTATTTACATCTTTGTTGGTTTCTTTCTTTCTTTTTCTTACCTTTTATTCTTATTTCTTTCTTTTCTATTTTCTCTTTCTTGCTAAATCCTTTCATTTTTTTTCTTTATTTTCGATCATTCTATTCTTTCTTTCTTTTTCAATATCTTTCTTTTCTTATGTTTCCTTCTCTCTCTCTCTCTCTCTCTTTCTCTCTCTCCCCCTGGTTTTTCTTTGAGTTTCTGTTTTTTTTATTATTTCATTCTTTCTGTCTGTTTTTTTCTTTCATATTTCCGCACTTGTCTTACACATTTCCGTTTTTCTTTCACATGTCTGTTATTCTTTCATTGTTTCTTTCTTTCTTTGCTTCTTTCTTTTACATATCTGTTTTTCTTTCTTCCTTTCTTTCTTTCTTTCTTTCTTTCTTTCTTTCTTTCTTTCTTTCACATTTCTGCGTTTTCCTTATAGTTTTCCATTATTCTTTCTATTAACACCAATTTGTTTCTCTTTCATTGTTTGTTTGTTTCGTTTTTCTTTCTTTCATTCTTTCTTTCTTTCACATTTTTGCATTTTCCTCTAACTTTTCCTTTTTTGTTTCTTTCACACACACACGTGATTCTTTCATTGTTTCTTTTTCTTTTCTCTTTTCTTTGACAGTTGTTTTATTTCTTTCTTTCACATTTAGGCGTTTCTTTTCACTTTTCCGTTTTTTTTTTCTTTCGCTCATTTGTTTTTTCATCATTTCTTTCTTTCACATTTCTGATATTCTCCCATTGTTTCTTTCTTTCACATTTCTGTCATTCTTTTATTGCTTGCTTGTTTCTTTCTTTCTTTCACATATCTGTTCGTTTTCATTGTTTCTTTCTTTCACATTTCTTTTATTCATTCAATGTTTTTTTCTTTCTTTTTCAATTTCTGCTATACTCCCATTGTTTCTCTCTTTCTTTCACATTTCTGTTATTCATTCGTTGTTTCTTTTTTTCACATTGTTGATATTCTTTCATTGTTTCTTTAATATTTATTTTATTAATTCATTCATTGTTTCTTTCTTTCGCATTTCTTTTATTCATTCATTGTTTCTTTCTTTCTTTCTTTCTTTCATTCACATTTCTGTTATTCATTCATTGTTTCTTTCTTTCTTTCTTTCATTCACATTTCTGTTATTTTTTCATTGTTTCATTCTCTCATATTTCTGTTTTTCTTTCACATTTCTAATATTTTCTTACATTTTTCCGTTTTTCTTTCTGTCACACATTTTTAAATTTTAGCATTCTTTCATGTACATACAGTGTAACCCGGATATAAGAAAGTTGTCGGGACCGGAGAAGAAGTCTCTTATATCCGGGTTTCTCTTATATACGGGTTTGGTCTATTTTATATACATTAACACAGGCTCTAATTTGGGACCACAGAAAATCTCTCTTATATCCGGGTTTCTCTTATATCCGGGTCTCTTACATCCGGGTTACACTGTATCTGTCTTTTTTGCATTCTAGAATTTTCCCTCTTCTTTTTCATTCTACATTATTTTTCCTTTGAAATTTCTGAATTAATTTTCTTCTAAACTTCTTTCTTTTTTTTTCGCATTTTTACATTTCTTTCATTGTAAAATACCTTCCCATTTTTTTTTCCATTCTAGATATCTTTTTTTTTTTCATTTAGGACTTCTTTCACATTTCTGTTTTTCCTTCTTTCTGTGAGGCTGGTGGAATGGATAGAGGCTCGGAATTAGAAAGCGAAGAGCCACCTCAGAATTCCAGACATGTTTGTTACATTCGCAAATGCGTAAATACCTTTGGCATCTCCTTCCCTCAGTTATGGGTTAAATATTAAATTGTTAATCTCAAAATAACTTTCATACATTTCAAAATATGTTTCAGCGTTTGAAAAAAACCCACAAAAGGTTGATAAACCGTAAAAATCAATCAATCAATTCTTTTTTTCATTCTTAGTTTTTTATTCAGTCCAGACTTCTTTCTTTCAGGTTTAGGTTTTTTTTTTTTCATTCTATTTTTTTTTTATTTCTTATGAAAAATATTGGTTATTTTCCTGGGTTGATAAGACACCCTGATGGAGAGATGAGAGTTCATTTATCTAATAATAGCTGGTAAAACCCAAATTTAGGCGCCAAAGCCGAGGAGTTTCAAGTCCAGCGAGCTGAATTGACGTCTTTTAGCCCACCTCAAAATAATAGCTTAGGCAATTTTAAATGAAACATACGCAAAGAATGAAATTCGCAAACAGCGATGATTTTCCATGAAAGCACGTGCATACAGCATATATATATATATATATATATATATATATATATATATATATATATATATATATATATATATATAAGCAAATATATGGATATAGATCCGACAGTATGAAGAAAAATATATACGGAAAAACAAAACAATGGTTTATTATACTGTTTTAAAATTACGCTGTTTTAATAAATTAATATGACATATTCATAAATATAACATTTTTGGTTTAATAAACGGTCTTCAGGACATATTCATAAATATATATATATATATATATAATATATTGTTACGCCGGTTTCGTTGGGACTACGATAGCCGGGACGCGACGAAAATAAAAAAAATAAGTAAAAGATCCCAAGGTTCGATATAAAAATAAAGAAAAGAACGTTGGGAGGGGAATTCTCCAATTCCGGACGTCGGTAAACGCAGAGAGAGAAAATGAACAATTCGCAGACACAGAACAACAGAAGACAACACGAGAATATATAATACAAAGATTTTATTTCTAGAATACACGGAGTGTGAATGTAAGAAAAAGAAAAAGAAAACTAAATAATACAAGGAATAGGGAGATAAGTTACCAATTAAACAGATACTAATGCGGTGAAATACATATGAATACGGAGAAAGCAGATTATAAGATATGGAAAAACATGCAGAAACTTACATAAGGTTGGAATCGACGTCGATTGACTATTATCGGGGTACAGTTTGATCAAAAGGATATTCATACACTTCTCTGAAAGTAAAGGATGGGATTGACAATGTTCTAATATGAGTTTTTGACTGGCAACGTCCAATCCGTGTTGATGGCGAGGAGAACACACAGAAAAATCACGGGAATGTAGCCGACTTGGGTTGAGGATGTTGTTCTAGATTCTCTCGTCGGTCCTTTGGTTTTTGGTGGCATCTAATTCTTCTGGCATCAAACCACGAAGTCTGGTTTTGGTGACAACTGCTTCTTCTAACGGCAAACAGCTAAGACTGTTTTTAGTGACGTCCGATTTCTCCGATAGCCAGCAACTATATGAGATCGTTGTCACCTCAACACGTGCGAAACGAAAACTGCTATATGTTGAGTCACGTGTTGACCCCCCCAAAAGGTATGCGTCATTCACGTACCCTGTTAATGTCATTCGCACTTATCTGTCAAACAGCGTTCATTTTAGTCCTACGACTATGGACCTGGTTAACATCATTAGCACCTGTCTGTCAAACAGCGTTTGTTTGGCCTACACATCAGAGACCAGGTAGGAAATGGGGGGAGGAAGGGAAGGTTCTTTTCCGAGAACTGGTCCTGACTCATCTGGGTATAAAAAAATATATATCTCACAATCTGCATATTCAAGAAATAAAGAAGTTATTAAGATTCATATGTTTCGTCGCAAATACACAATGTACTGAAAATATACTTATAAAATCTGAGGTGAGGGTACAAATATGGGGTTAACGTATATATATATATATATATATATATATATATATATAACTAAGCACTGGATGGCCGTTTCGTTTTATATTTGGGACTGCATCAGCAGTGCGCATCCACTACCGAGAATTGAAACCCGGACCGTTACAATGTGAGACAAACGTCATACCAACGGACCTCAGTAACGAATTAGAGTCGATATGGCGCCGCTCGATCACATATTCCGTGGTGGAACGCAACCGAGTTTCCCTTACCCGGAGGACTGTTCTCCCACAAGTACGCACCAAGCCTCTTCAACTGAGCATTTGAACCGGTTCAAGCAAGAATGTATCAAGAAGTGATAGAAATTAGTAGGATTTGAGATAATCATAATTTAATAATATATATATAATAATTTTATATATATACATATATATTATAATTATATATATATATATATTATTATTTATATATATATATATATAAATAATTATATATATATAATTATTTATATATATATATATAATTATTTATATATATATATAATTATTTATATATATATATTATATATATATATATATATATATATATATATATATATATATATATATATATATGTATGTATGTATGTATGAAGAAATATAGTTTTAAGGTGTGCTATATTTATGGGATAAAGTGCTCAATATCAGAGATAGAGCGTATGTAAATATGAATATAAATGTGAACTTTGAAGTCAACACTCAGAGGCGACAGGCTGTTTCATGCTGGACGCAATAGTCAGGCCGTGAATGCTGGATTTTTCCATCGGCTATTTGTATATATGGGTCAGTGGTGCATTGTGGGTAATCTATACTGGCGGTTACTCCCTTAAAAATAACCGCCAGAATAGATTACCTACAATATATATATTTATATTACTTGCTAATATCCTTGGGAAAGGTATGAATCCTCTTCTTGTCCCTCCAGCTATGAATAAATAGCAAAACAGACGGGGTTCTATAGCCTTGGATGACATCTCGTCTGGGAGAAGGGTCGTTTGAGAACCTTGAGCACATACTGCACCAAGTCTCCGTATTCGGCCCTTCAAAATGTATGGTTGGTTTAGTACAAAGCCTTTGCCACTATAATCAAATCGTAAGTGCTGGTGTCTGGCTGTAGGTTCCTAGGAACTGAGCTGCTTGACCCAAATATGTCACACACACACACACACACACACACACACACACACACACACACACACACACACATTTATGCTCTACTTTTGTATCGAGCACTTTTTTTTTTAAAAATAATAACTAAAATACTAAGGGACTTTGGATTATTTACCTAACCAGTTCCTTCCTATTTTCTATATATTTTCACACACACACATATATATATATATAAATAATTTAATGAAAAACAGACCACTTTAAGGTACCATTACAATAATTTATTTCACCAAAATCCTTTTTAAAGGACTCCGGATCATCAGGTAAATTCCAACAACGAAATGAAAGGAAAAATGGGATTAGAAATTGATGGGTAGTGTAATTTTTGTAATTTAACAGGGGAGTGGGGTGAGAGTTGTAGTTAAATCCTCCTTAGATTTACCCATTCGGTTAACAAGTTCTTCGTAACTTAATATATATATATATATATATATATATATATATATATATATATATATATATATATATATCAAACCCAATGTTTGTGTATGTGTCCATTTGAAATGCTGTAAATTCAACATGTGAAGATCCTTTATGCATCCAAGCGAATGGTCTCTCGTATGGCCCGCCAACAATACCGCTTTAGTTTTTCATTCTCCCCCCAAATAATCACTTAT